TTTTAAGCTAACTGCATGTCGAGCGTTTAAGCTCCGCTTGTGGTCACTCGTTCCTCGCTTGTTCCAAAGAGCTTCAGATCTGATTCTACATACGATATTCCATTCCGGCCCTCACTAGCTCTTCGCTTGCTTGTACAAAGAGCATGCCCGAGGGGGCTACTACGCTCACCGCGCACTTGCATCACCACCCACCTGAGCTTCGCCCAGCTCCTAAGCCTACCACGAACCTTGGCACGAGAAAGAAGTAGAGCTTTGCTAGTGAATCTGCTCTTTGAAAGCTTGAACGTGTCCCGTCCCTCTTTCTTTTTGAATATGCCACGCGATTCGAAATGATTAGATATTAGATGAAGAGCCTAGAAAATGCAAGGGGAACAGCCAGAACCAAATGCATATTTTTCCTCCCATCCCGTACCATACCATAGAGAAAGAGGAAGAACTTATACTGATTGATGGATATTGATTGATTGCTAACAGATGTTATGAAAGAATTGTTAGAATATCCCCTTAGCTCTCGCTTTGCCGTTGGTACCTCCCATCAGAGCGCGAGCTGGTCTTCCTTCGGGAATGGTAAAACCGATCCATCTTTGGTCTACGTTCCGACCCAGCAAGTAATAATTGAAATTCATTTCACCTTGCCTGCCGACTGGAATACGAGGATCGACTAGTTGAAGAGGCTCCCTTGGTCGCCCCTTTCCTTTCCATACACAATTTCTTGTTATGGATTCCTTGGTTTATCTTAAGTAAGTTCATTGAAGAAGGAGTCCAATTTCGAAGGGTTGGTGTAATTGTCTCGACTAAAGGTCCAGAGGAACGAAGCCCGCGGGGTGATACATGGTTGTACTGGTCAGCTTTGGGCTAGAAATTCCTTATTTGAACGCTTTCCGAAGTGAGAGAAGGAGGGAAGGCGCCCCAGGTAGCTCACACCCACATTAGTACGCTTGGTTTACTTTCTTCGTTTCACTCAAGTAACAGACTAAGGCGCCGTACTCCCTTTCTTTCGAAAGTAATTAATTCATGCGAAACTATAGCCCTCTCATTCCTTCCAAATCGTTGGAAACGGCAAAAGCTTACCGCTCTCGAGCTTTTCCGTGCTTCTCCCCTTCGTTCCGCCGGACCTTCTACCTCAACACTTTCGGTTTTTTGTTCAATAGCAGCTCCGCTTTCTGACCCATAGAAAGAGATCTTTAACGATAATCCAGCCTAAAGGCATCGGGTACAAGAAAATGAGGATAAAGAAAATTGACTAAATAGTTTTTCTTTGATTGATTTCCAGCTCCGGAGAAGGAAAGAAGAAAGCAGTAAAGGAGGCGACACCCACTAGTTTTGTCCGGATCAAACTCTCCCCAAAGCAGGTAGGTGAGAATACGCCGGGGTTGGATTTCCTAAAGCCGCCTCTGCTGGGACTTAAACATCCGGCTCCTCCGCAAGTCGTTCTTTCCCTGAATCAATTCAACACAGTTAAAGGTTTGAAGCTGCTCTTGCTGACTTCCTTCCCGTGGGACTTTCCCTCGTCAACTGGGCTCCGATCCTCTTTCTATTCTATAGCTGTCTATTGAATAGAGGTCGGTGCCAGTGGAAGAATGGAATCAAGAATCAATTGAGCTGCTCCTTCTGCTTGTCGTTCGAGTGCTGGAAAAAAACATATAGCCGCTGCTTCCATAAAAGCTCATCTGATTCCTGAATCTGGTTCGCTTCTCTCCCTCAGGTCGAGTGGCTACGCTCCTTGGCAGTCCTAGTTGGGTTGAATTTGAACTGCTTGTCTCAGACCTTCTTCTCCCCCTGTAGCCCGTTGGTGAGGAGTTGAGGGAAATTCAAGTCTTTTTTTCTCCTCGCCGGGGACTTCCGCTGCTTCTGGTCGCGCTGCTACTTCCGACTGTGCTGATTCGGGCATTCCTTCATGGGAGTATGAGAAAGCCCCGATTCGATCAGTTCCGTTGCCCAAATCGAATGTTCTACCTGACTCAATCCCCTTCTTCAGGAATGGCGGCATGGCTTACTAGTGATGATGCCCAGTCTCGGAACTGATCTGATGAATCCTCAATTACATCGACCCTCAACTGCCTTTTCTTTTGCTTTGGCGGGAAAGAAGGCTGGCACAAAAGAAAGATCGGCTTCGGGCCGGACCCTTATACTAGTCCTATCGATCTGACAAGAAGAAGGGAGGCATCTCACGGGGGAAGAGTCTATCATGTCGGAGGTCTAAACTACCTTAGATATGCAATTTGAAGATCTTTATGTTCCGGCCGATTTCATTTCAGGAGAAGGAGAGGCCTAAGCGTCCCAAACAGATTCATTAGGTTAATGGGCGGCAAGAGATGCCACATGACGGTCAGCCACATTAGCAGTTTCAGCAGAAGAAGCTTCAAGTCGCTCAACCACCGACCGGGAGAGAGGCGAAAAGGCTCAACCGAGGAAGGAGCTAGATCTATTCTAAAATCCTTGTCCTTTTCCAATGCCAAAGACATACCAAGGGCTCAAAGCCACTTCTTCATCGACAGGTTCAGGCGCGAAGTGAACCAAACCAATAGCAGTAGGTTCAGCAACGGATCGGGGAAGACATTCATTGACCTACTTGGCCGGAGTTCCCACAGCAGCCATTTTTTCGGCAAGCCCCCGTCAAGCCCTTGTTAAGCTTCTTCAAGCAGAGCACGGCGCGCAACGGAACGGGCACTAGTGGAAGAAAACCGCCATGGAACGGATTCTTTCTAACCTGCTGAACCTTCCATTGACCTATATGAAGTCTTGAGTTCAGTCTGTTCGGGTGAAAATAACTTCCCCCTTTGCCAACGACATCCCAGAAGTTCGCCCGCTCGACCTGAGGGAAGTGCGGTCAAGATTCAACTCATTGGAAGAGGGGCCTACCCCAAAGCCAAGCAAGGACAAGGGCTCCAAAGAACCAAGAAGCCTATCTACCCCTATGAATATGAAGTAGAGCCTGTAGCGCTTTTACCCGCAGAACTCAAACCTATCCGAGGGTTAGGATCAAGGGTTCGTTCGATGAGCGGTAAGGCTAGAGACAAGTTCTTGTGCTTCCTCCGCGAATCTTTCTCCTGTAGTCCTTGACTGTGGGGCTAGGTTCGGGTCGATTTCCATCCCTATTGGTTAGAGAATCCGTTTCCAAATCTTATTCAGTCTTCCTTGGAAAGCCCTTTATCGGATTCGGATGCTGGGTTAACTGGTTCTCAAAGCGAGTATCCAATCCGGGTAAAGAAATCCAACTCTAACGGGAATAAAATGACCAAAGTGGTAATCTTAGAACTTCGATAGAGACACTCACTCTAACTCTAAGTCAAAGGGTAACTTAAACTCCACTAAGAAAAGGCATTGATTCGTATTTTTGACTGAACTGAACAAGCAAGGGCTTTCGCGCTAGTTGCTCAATCCCTTGCTTGTTGGAAAGGTTGGTTATTTAATATGCTCGACCAACCCTTGATCCTAACCCTCGGAAGGGGGCGGGATAGGCTAGCAAGCATCTGTAGCATTCAGATCGATTCTCATCCAAAGGGCTGGTTGTCGGTCCGAAAGGAAATTGATCGATAGATATTTAGAAGATAATATAGCTGGGGTTCACGGATTATCATATATGATGTTCCCGATCCTTTACTCCTCGAATACAATGAGCGCATTGAAAAGGAAAGAATAGCTTCTCAGCAGGAACCATTCCTACTGTTAAAACCCTATCTCCTAAGCGCGCCCAGTCCAGTCTTCTCTTCGCTTCGGTCAGTTAGTTTCGTAACAGTAGCTTCGCCTCAGTAGCTTCGCTCGGTGCAGTTACCGAACTTAGTTGTGAAAAGAAAAAGCTTCGAAGCCATAAGTGAAGGGATACCTATGTCAGGCATCCCTCTCTTGATATGTACTACGGGCTTTGAAAAGAGAGAGAAAAGCCCGTATTCGGTGTCCGGTTCGATCTTAGCACGTTTCCCGCCCAGATGTCTAATACGAGGGAAATACCCGATCGCTTTGCGGTTTGTATCCTCGGATTTTAGTCGAGACTCACTTCGTTCTCCTTGATTCGCTGGAGAGATAAGCCTAGTGGCCACTATCAAGTGTCTATACCAATGACGATAGAAGTGTTTAGCAGCACGTGGCTTTAGTGGAAGGATGTGAAGATCCTTCCTTGAACTGTAATTGTGAAAAGACAGAGTCTCTTTTTCTTGATTTAAAGCCAATAGTAAAGTAAAGGATTCATCTCGATAAATTACTTTTTTTTGGACATCTGGGGGGAGGAAGCCCTATTTCATTCTCTTAGCTCAGAGGCGGTTTCGATTGTTGTGGCGGGGACAAAGCGAGAGTAGCTGACAGGAGACAAGTCGAAGAGCTAAGAATAAAAGAAAGAAGCAAAGACTTATTCATATAATATTCCCGCCTGTACTGCTGTAGCGGGTTCGGCTTGCTAACTGACAGGGAAGGTGACGATGCGAGCACCTTGACATTGCATTGATTAATGCAGGAAGGATATAATAGGTATACAGTTTATATCGACAAATGTTGGCTGTTTAGTAGGCATGTAAAAAATGCTCTTGCGGGCCTATGCAAAGTGTGGGGATGAATTTCAGGCAGTAGCTCCTCAGAAGGAGATGACGTAGAGAGGAATTTTGATGAAACAAAAGGTTGGCGGATTGCTTACTACTAGGTTGGATCGGATGTCAACCTGTGGAGGCACCATTTGTTACTATTGGACAAATTCCTTCTTTCTTTCCGAAACGAAACCCAAGTCAAACTTGGACGTACCTCTCAAGTACTTTAAGACTCATTTCACTGCCTCCCAATGAGCTTTCCCTGAATAAGGAAGAAACCTGCTTACTAAAAAAAACTGCATGCGCAATGGTTGGCCGAGTACATACCATAGCGTATATCAAGTATCCAACCGCTGACGAATAAGGAATGGAAGCCGCTTTAGTAAAACTAGATCTTGCTGCTGCAGGTGCAGACAGGTATTCTATTCCAAAGGACTGATAATATTTGGTGTAAGGGATTCTATGCAAACATTGACCACTCGTATGGATAGCTTGGTAGCCTCACAACCATCTGCAAGCACTCAAGGGAGACTTCCAGCTCAACCTGAAGTTCACCCTCGTGGTCATTGTGGAGCCATTACTACTCGGAGTGGCAAGACTACAACTGATCCTCTTCTCCCAACGCCACCGTTGTATGTACCACCTGCCTTCCGGCCTAGCCAGCCAATGGCTTCTCCACAGGACCAGCAGGTACCTCAGCAGTCCACTACTACTACTGCTGGACAGCCTAGTTCTTCTACACCACCAGCTATAGCTCCTAATGATCCATCATCAATCAGTTCGACTTCAGTTCCACCTACCAAGCCGAAGCAGCCATTTCTAGAACGGTTTGAGAAGTCAAGTGAAGACAAGCAGTTTGCTAAGTTTCTTGAGATGATTCAAGATGCGCAGATTACCATCCCCATCCTTGATGCTGTCTTACATGTTCCGATGTATGCAAAGTTCTTTAAGGAGCTGCTCACAAAGAAGCGAAACATTAACGAGCCAGAAGTGGTTACTCTTACTAAGGAATGCAGTGCAGTCATTCAAAATGAGAGACCCCCCAAGTTAGATGACCCAGGCAGTTTCTGTATTCCATGCTTGATAGGATCTAAAAGTTTCCGTGCTTTATGTGATCTTGGCTCTAGTGTGAGTGTGATTCCCCTCTCTGTCTGCGAGGCACTACCTTTGGGTGATGTACGGCCGACTACCATGACTCTCCAGCTTGCTGATCGCACTTATCGCCATCAGGCAGGCATTTTGGTTGATGTCCCTGTGATAGTTGGTAACTTCGCATTTCCAGTTGATTTTGTTGTCTTGGAGATGGAGGATGAGAAGTCTATTCTTTATAATGAGCATACTTCTATTGATCCATCTCCTGTAGCTCTAATTGATTCTTCTCAGGAGGCTTCTCTTACTTATGATCTTATACCATCTTCAGCTCCTAAGGTAGATCTGAAACCTCTTCCTGAGCATTTGAGATATGAGTTTCTTGGATCTGATAATACATATCCTGTTATTGTGAGTTCTCGTCTGACTCCTATGGAGATTGACCGTCTTCTTGAAATTCTTCGTCGATATCGAGCAGTCATAGGATATTCTATAGATGATATGAAGGGTATCAGCCCTACAGTCTGCATGCATCGAATCTTTCTCGAGGATGATGTTAAGCCGACGCGTGAGCACCAGCGTAGGCTTAATCCTCATTTGCAAGAAGTTGTAAAGAAAGAGGTATTGAAGCTTCTTGGTGCTCACATCATTTATCCTATCTCTGACAGTCAGTGGGTCAGTCCAATTCATATTGTACCCAAGAAAGGAGGCATGACTGTTTTAGCAAATGAGAAAGGTCAAATGATTCCCACTAGGACTGTCACCGGTTGGCGCATGTGTACAGATTATCGCAAGCTTAACAAGGCCGCCCGGAAGGATCACTTTCCTTTGCCTTTTATTGATCAGATGCTTGAGAGGTTAGCATGTCATTCTTATTTCAGCTACCTCGATGGGTACTCGGGCTTCTTGCAGATTCCGATACATCCGTCGGACCAGGATAAGACAACATTTACCTGTCCTTATGGTACATTTGCTTACCGACGGTTGCCATTTGGTCTCTGTAATGCCCCAGGGACTTTTCAGCGATGTGTCATGTCTATCTTCACAGATTTGATTGAGAAAATCATGTAGGTCTTCATGGATGATTTCACTGTCTATGGACGGAATTTTGATGACTGTTTGGCCAATCTTGAGATTGTTCTACAGCGTTGTCTTGAAGCTGATTTGGTACTCAATTGGGGGAAGTGTCATTTCCAACAAGCAAGGGATTGAGCAAGACGCGCGAAAGCCGTTGCGCGTTAGCGCATCCGTTTTCTTGCTGCTTCTAAAGTTGGGGATGCTTTTTGAAACGAGTGAATACAAGAGGTTTTTTTGGATCGTCGGCTAGCTTCCAAGCTTGCATTCCGGGAATTGGACTGGCTTAAACAGGATGACTCCGCTGCCCACTCGTACCTTGAAGTAGAGCCTTCCCCAAGGCTCTGTCAAGACCTCCGATCGGGGGAATCATGAGTTCCTGCCATGGAAAGTATATGTGAACAACTCTCAACGCCACTCATTTCTTCAGAAATGGTAATCAAACCACAAACCATAAGATCGGACGAAAGCATATTAAGCGCGAATGGCCAATGTGATCCCCAAACTGCTGCTATATGTTTTTGAATTTGGCCCAAAGCGAATAAAGAAAGCTAACAATGGAAAATGGAAGATAAAATAAAGTAGACAAAGAGAGAAGATTATTTTCACTCTTACTGAAATCGGATTTCCTGCCATATGCACTTAGCCTTTACTCTAGGATGAACTGAGCCATAGCTTCTAGGGCATCCCCAATCTCCTTGTGATTAGATCTGCTCGACATGCAAGTAGTCTATGCCTGTTCTGACACTCTTAAACCAGACAGTAAACTACCCTCCTCAACTATTCCAGACCAATCCCTAGAGATTAGCTTGGTACTTTCGCATGATCGGTACAAGCATCCGGTAGAGTTAGAGAGGAAGACCTATCCGATAAAGTAAAGTGCAGTTGGTTTCGCTTTTTCCTTCTTGTTTTGCAGGAGCAACTCCCTAACCGCATAGAGGTTTCTTATGGCATCGAGTGATATCTGCCTTAAGAGTCTTGTGTGTGGTTAATCGCCTAAATATGAGGATCTCTGATCCCGAGCGATGATGCAGGGATCTGCTAACCAATGCAAGCGGTAGGGGTTTTGTAGAAAGATAGGTTACCATCTTCCTTCAGTCTTTCGTTTGTCTTACAGGTATCTTTGTACTGTGCGTCAAAGTTTTGGTTGATAGAGTCCGACTGGGATCCGTGTAAATCAATTGCTGTTGGTGAAGGGTCGATGTAATTGAGATGAAGAACGTAATTTCTCTTTGAGTTAGCTCCGTAGAAAAAGAGGCATCTTCATCTTAAGTAGGAAATTCCTGAATCGAAGATTTTTGGGGTAAAATGCCAATGTCTTTCCATTTCCAGAGTTGATGAGCGGAGACGAGTTTATCAGCACCAATACCCCCGATGGCCGCTTTCTTCTGGGTAAGACAAATGATTGCTAATCTATTTTTCGCGCGGAAAGGCTGTTTATTACGAATCATGTGCAAATGCAATCAGGCATTCCATAAGAGCCCATTCTCTGATAA